TGTTTTGGGTTGGAAGGGACCCTGTAGATCATGTAGACCAGGCTGCTCAGAGCCCCGTCCAGCCTGGCCTTGAACACTTCCAGGGAGGGGCAGTCACAGCTGCTCTGGGCAAGCGCTGACCAGGCGTTAGCAGGGTATATAAGGGTAAACTGAGTTACGAAAGTTTAAACCGTAATTAACCGAAGTTGCTGTGCAGTAAATATATCTGTCATAAGACCTTTACCGTTTATCTGTTTCAAGCTTGCTTTTAGTGGACTTGTATTATTTGTAAAGTGGGGTTTTTTCTAGCTTTTGTATCTCTGCTTCTGGTTTCTGAAATAAAATACAAAGTAAAGCTTTTTTGTTACCTACAGAGCATCGATACATTGAACTATTCCTGAATTCAACTGCTGGAGGTGGTTCTGGAATGGGAGGCTACGGCAGAGATGGAATGGGTACGCATCAGGTCCAGACTCATCTGACATTTTGCCAAGTCTGAGTCCGAGCTTCTAACGATACGCTTTATGCTTTCCAGATCAAGGTTACGGCTCTGTTGGTAGAATGGGAATGGGTAGCAATTACAGTGGCGGATATGGAACTCCTGATGGCTTGGGAGGATACAGTAAGTAAAAGTTCTGTTTTAATTGTAGTTCATGACGATGTTGCTACATCCGTCTTCTGGCGGGTGGTGGCTTTGTGTGTGTGGAGAAAGGCTACTGCAGCAAATGCTTGTTTAGAAAAATAGTGCTGAAGTAGTTATTATAGTATGAGTTAAGTCGTCAACCAACTGTTCTGTACTACCCATCACATTTTTTCTCTTTTTAAGGTATGTATGCGTGACCTTGTGTCAATTGTTTGCAGGTCGTGGCAGTGGAAATAGTGGAGGATACTATGGGCAAGGCAGTATGGGTGGAGGAGGATGGCGTGGGATGTATTGAAGGATAGAGCCTTGCTTCTGCAAAACATCCTGGAAGAAACAGTCTCTGGTCTACTAGACTTTCTTACAAAATTTAATTTCTTTTGTATTTTAAGAACTTTATAATGACTGAAGGAATGTGTTTTCACAATATTATTTGGTAAGCAACAGATTGTGATGGGAAAATCTGTTTTCTGTAGGTTTTATTTGTTGCATACTCTGACTTTAAATAAATTTTTATATTCAAACCACTGATGTTGATACTTTTTATACTAGTTACTCCTAAGGATGTATTACATATTCAAGACTACAGTCGGTTTAAGGTGTTGTACTATGGTTCAATAAAGGTGGTTGTACTGTAGCTCCTATGAACACTGATTCAGTTCTATGTAATCTTGGTGTAGTGAATGAGTTCGGAAAATTCACTTGTTTAAGGGGAAGAAGGTAGACGAATAGATTAGTTTATTTGGTAACAATCTTTCCTAAACTTTTTTGATAAGTTGTATATAATAATTTCAACACAGCGTAAAGCTGTGGAGGCTAAAAGTCATCGTTCCAGCTTTCTTCTTGTGCTACCAGACTCTGCCATCGCTGTCCAATGCACACAGCTGCACAAACGAGCAGTGCCCAAGTTTTGTGCCTCCACAAAACCAAGTAATGACCTTCAGTTAATTTCCATGCTTTGCTGTAGAACTCGAATACTGCATTTCACGTGGTGAACTTGCGAAGCAGACTAGAGCACTAGCACAGCTCTTAGGCAACATGAAACAGGTCACGTACTAGTTCAGTTGAAGCTATCTACTTAGTATTTTTTTTCACAAACGCGGCTTTTGGAAAGAGCGGAGTAATTTGGAAGCAAGTAGACTTTTTTTCTTTCATGAAATTGTTGTATTTAAACATGATTCGGGTTTGTTTTTTTTTTTGGCTGCGCAGAGCTGATTTGTCTTGTGTTCAAAACTTGACAAATTGTCATACGGATGAGCTCATTAGAAGCAAAGTATCTCTAAAAGAAAAACTAAGCCCAATATTTGTTAAATAACACACAACCCAAACACGGTGATAAAACTTTGTGCATTTGTGACATGTAAGATATGTAAGAAGCTATTGTTTGAAGACACCATACCTGCTGTGTAATGAAAAAAGGTATTTATTCTTCTGAGCCAGTGTGATCTCCCAAATTAACTGCTTTGTCCTCAATGCCTCCCTTAAAATGTCAACTGTGATCTTGGGTATTGAAAGTCTGTCACCTGTTTTGCTAGTACTGTGTTATGTATGTAATAAATGTCTTACTGTGGGAGAGAGGAGAATGGAGTTTATTTCACTAGAGAGTGTGTTCTTGTGTCAAAGTGGGTGGAAGTAATAGCTGAAAGGGTAACTGGCAGGGGAAGCTTTCCCAGGGCTGGAAGGTTTTTGGCTAGGAAGGGGAGGGAAGGTGGCTCATGGCTGTAAGACCAGTCATTTTACTTGGTGCTCTTAAAAAGCAGTGGGTTCTTGGTCTGTTACTGAAAAAGCTTGTGTGTGTGTTGTAAAACTGAGGTGGCAAAGGTCAGGACAAGAGTTAATCCAGTTGCAGGAAAAAAAGCAGTGAGGTGGAGGACACCACACTTGCTGGAAGTACGTTTTTTCCATTGGCAGAGCAGCTGTCTAAAATACTGTCAGCTGTGTGCGTTTCCTCAGGCAGGTGCACTTGGTGTTCCTTTTATAAGCAGGAGTGCCAGCACCTGTTTGAGACTTGCCTTTGAGAGCCAGCTGGAGCACTGCTGCCAGCAATTCTGTGTAGCCAAGCCATCTGCAGAAAGCACACCTTAAATCTGAGTGGGGGTGGATCCCTTCACACTGTCCCACCACTCCCCCAGCGACGCTGCACCTGGAACAGGAGCAGCACTCAGCTTTGAACCTTTCAAGTCACTTGAGCAGCATTCAAATTGCAGAGGAAGCGTTGAGAAGAAAAGCTATGAAAAACTGTTGCCTGGTCAGCAAGGGCGTTTCGGATTTAATCCCTGTATGCGAAGTCACATTTTAGTCTTTGCTGTGCAGAGCACCAGGAGCTGAAGCGCTCGTTTGTCAAGGGAGCATGGCTGGCGCAAGCGGCTGTGTGCTGAGTGCCAGGGTCCAGCGGGGTTCTTCTCCCTTTGCCTGGGGAGGACGAGGTGCACGCAGGGCAGTGAAACGCCTGCGATGGCTGTGGGGAGTGGCAGGAACAGCGTATTTTTCTCTGCCCCCATCAGGAGTCGTATCCCAGCAAGAACGTAACCCAAGCTGCTCCAATACTGTGTGAGCAGCCGCCAATTCTTTTGAAGAATGGGACAGGTACCCCGCAGCTCTCCCCGGACTCAGTGTGAGGGTGATTTAGGGCAGATTTAGACTGTCGAAGAGGAGGGTTTTATACAAAGGCATGGATACAGGATTAGTGATAGTGTGTTCCAAACCAAGCCCCCTGCTCCCCAACACATGCAAAGACCTTCCAAGCAACTTGGAACAAGTCATAATAAAATACACAAAATACTTTAAATATTTAAATAAAGTAACATTATTCCCATAGTTAAGTTGCAGATCAATTAAATTTATTTTTTCCAAAAGGTATTTACAGATTTACAAGTATTTGGTTTGTATTTTACAAGAAGTTACATTAGGTAATTTTAAAAACATTTTTCTTTACAAAGGCTACATAAGCAACTACACTGAGGTGTTCAAAAGAACAGCAGTACTAGCTTTTAGTGTATCATCAACTAAGTGCCTACCCTCAAAAGACAAAGCTAAACTAAAAGTGCAACAACGATCAAAATAGCTGTTTCAAAGCCTCCCTTCTCCTGTCAGTGGGAATGTTCCAAGGCCATGGCTGAAGGAACTACCAGGCCAACGACTCCTCAGTGCTGACCAGAGCGTGGAGATTCCACAGCTGGAGCCCATGGCGCAAGCGGCCGAAGGGAAGGGGGGGGTGGGTTGGGGGGGTTGGTTCTAGTGCCATGGTGAGGGAGGGAGGACAATTTATCAAAGGATGTATTTGTATCTGCCTAGGGGAGGAGTAAGGATTTGCATTCCAGCAGAAGCTCCCATCAGTGTGAGGAGTGGTCAGACCCAGACATACTCAACAGGGCTTTGGAAAAAAAAATGAAGTTTAGGAACACACTCTGTAAACTTGAGGAGGATGATGACAAAATAAGGCAGAACCTTCCTGTCCAACAGAGGCAGCAGAGAAAGGATGTGGTCCCCAGTACTGAACCCTAGTCTTTCTAGCAGCAGAGTGAATCTGCCGCCAAGAGCTGCACGGTGGCCACACGCGCAGCGCTCACAGCATGACGTACAGGAAACCAACCCAGAGAGATTTGTTCCAGGGTACAGACACTGCCAGGCAAACTTTCTGTGAAGGGCATTTTTTTTAATGGAAAGACGGTATGTCAAATCAACAGTTAATTTTAAAAACTAACTTGGCAAAACACACCTTCCTTCCTTCCCCCAGTGCCTAGAGGCACTGTTTGCGACCTGTCTGACAAAACCACCCCTTACACCTGCCACTACAGAGTTGTCAGTGCAATATTCTTGGATGCATCAAATCTTGGTAACTGAGGGGAAGTAAACCAATATGGTATTTGGCAGTAACTTACCGGAGCACTGCATTAATTGCATAACTTTTAATAAATACAACCTAAAACTAACTACCGCAGAGTTTTGCTTCACAACAGCGTACCACAGGCATGTTCTGCAGCAGCATCAGGTCGGAGTCATGGCAGACTAGCCTGTGAAAGCAGGTAAGCGTACTATCTCTTTCAAGATCATCACAACGACTGAGATACTCATCAAATACATGTGAACACTGTCTCCTCTATAAACTGCCTGGCTTCCTCCAGAAGAGCTTCTGAGCCATTTGTTAGATTAACATTGTCACCTGTATCTTTAACGCGCGAATCTTCTGTCTTTGGGTCCCGTTCTCTCCATTTGTTTCACCAGGAAGCAGACAGGTAACTCCTCCATGGCACCTTGAAAATGCAACTCTAGACTGCTTACCTCAAATTCTGGAAATAGTGCTGTACATTCTTTAGTTGGTATTTTTTTCTCATATGATTAGCTAAATACCAAAAGGTAATAAATATCTTGTGAAATAATCTTACGGCACATTAGAGGAGCACCTCTGTATAAGTATTGCATGGCAGGAATCACAGACCCGGACAGGCTTTGGCGAGGAAGGCAGAGGCAGTTCGTTGTCAGAACAGGCATTGCAGAAGATCTCACCACAGTTCCTACAATGATGCTAAGTAATGGGGAGAAAAGGGGGAGGGGAAAGGAAAACAATTTAAAATTGCTAACGGAAATACACTTGGTAATTGGTTATCAATAAACAATATACACAGAGCAGTCTGAAATGTGATTCCTTCCATTTCTTCGGTCTGAGCATAGAATCAGTTTTCAAAAGGTAATTCATCTAAATCCCCGGTCTGTCTAGGATTGCATCACAGATGGATAGATGGTCTGCCTAGGACCGTATATATTTTTGGTTTTGTATTTTTTTTTTTTTAATATACGCTTTGCAGATTTTGTTCAATCCCTGGATTAAGAACACACTCTGCTACATAAAAATATAATGTAAGTAATGATATTCGAGAGAGTGGATGATTCTGTCAGGCAGCTAATTGAGATTCAACATAAAAAGGTAAAATTAAAATTCCTGCACACATTAATAAAGCATGGAAATTAACATCACATTTTACTTTAAAATGAAAATAAACTCATAATTTCTTAGTCTATCACATAACAAATGCCACAAAAAGACTTCCATGTGTCAAATTTTAACAGTGCCAGAGCTGACAAGCACTGGAGATGATGATTCCACAAAATAGGCTGAATAATTTTAGGTACGTTCCTTTGGGGCACTTCACCAAAAGGCAGTGTTTCTTTTGAAATTTGGGCCCAGCTGCATCGTACATATCTAAGAACTAGAAAGAGATCTCAAAAAGAACTGTGCACTCATCTGAGCGTGGACATTTCATGTTGCACCCTCTAAGATAATTCATGTTTTTTGCATAAATGTAAACAAGTTGGAAGAAATTTTGTTAAAGTTTTACCTTCCTTTTGGAAAGAGAAAATTCCTTTTCGCATAACTTGCAATGTGTAGCCTCTTTGTCCTTCAACCACACTTGGCCCTGGGGAAAAAGTGATCGTAACTATACGTATCTGATGACGTTAAACTTTGGGTTCCAGGGGACAGGATAAAACAATAGCAGTACGTTTGCTGCCCGAATTGCTTCATGCCCTGAGACCAGTATGATGTCACAGACACTCTAAAGCAGTATAAATCCGCTACAAAACACTGCAGAACCTTATGAGACAAGGCAGAGCAGGAATAGGTGCGAACAGAACATGCTCGAGGTAAGAAAGCTGGTCAGTGGCTGAGCTGGGAAGAGCAGCAAGGTATCCAAGTCTCAGAGCTGAAGCTATTTTCCTGCCCATCACATAGGAACAGTCCCCAGGATGCAGGGAAGCAAAAAAATTAGGACAGCGTCAAGAACTGCTCATTTCCTTCTGTCTAAACCTATTAATAAAAACAGGAATCTGCCCAACAAAACCATTTCACACACCTTCACTTGGACTGAAACCACACGCAAGGTGACATACCATGTGATCGAACACGTGCAGACACAATCTCTGCTCTCAAGTGCTCCCTGCATAACTCTTAAGAAAGTTCCAAACCTCTCAACGTTACAGATCATATTTTATCAGCTTTGGTGCTATGAGTTTAGTTAATTCCTAGGATGATCAAATATTTATCAATCACTGAGAAGCAGCATGCAATCTAAGCTCAGTTGGCTACATATTCTGTGCCAGATACCCTTTGTAAAATATAGAAGGGTGCAGCATTGCAAGAAAAGTATCAAAATGCATAGCTGTACATCAAACAAGAAAAACCCAAAGCAACTGAGCATCTTTTTCCCCCATGAGGTTACAAGGTGTCTGTGGTTCTCTCCCACTGGAGGAAGTCATACCAGTCTCTTCCTAACAGTTGCTGTTGGAGAGAAGTCCTCTCATGCTTATAAAATATTTCAAAGGGAACAGTCCAAAAAAAAGAAGTTTCTCTTTCCTCCAAATACTACTAACCTGCAACGCTTTGTTCGCTTCTTTTATATCTTCTATTTTCAGCTTTGATCTAAAGAATAAGACAATGCTATTTCAAACTTCTATGTTATCAGTTACGGTCTAACAACTTTAAAGGCTGTAGGTATTGAAAAAACTATTGAAAAGAGTATTCTGAACTTTTAGCTGGCATTTCGTATCGCAGCAGCATCCAGCAGATGCAATTGACATCACGCCCTGCTGCACTAAGCACTGTACACAGACAAGCTCTCTCCAGAGAGCCCACAGTCCTTTGAATGGCTGTGAATTTGACTGGGGTTATGGGGATAGAAGCAATGCATACCAGCATAGCTCTGGACAAACACCTAAAGCCAGCACACAGCATTGCTACACAACCAGAATTTAAACTTCTGGACTTGCACAAGACCACGTTATGTCATTATGGAGAAACTAACCCCCCCACAGCCAACCCGCTCAGAACTGACTGAGTCTCGGTATCTATACCACGTTATTCCATAGGGCATGGAAGTCCACACTAGTCATGGCAAAACTACTTAGGAGACAGAGGTCTTTAAATGAAACCTTAACAGCACATAAGAATAACTGAGACCTGTGCTCAGAGCTTACTGCTCACTATAGTCTGAAGGGGTTTTGATAAGCTAATCCCTTACATCCCCTACAGATTTAGCAACACCGGCTTACAATCGTCATACACAGAATCCTCCTCTCTTCAAAGACAGGAATCCCTGCACGTGCATCCTCACAAAAAGACAAGCACTGTCCTGTTGGAGCACAGCTGTTATCTCCTACTTGGGTTCTTTGGGAGTGACACAACATGCAAACTAGCCAACCGTTTTCAATGCAAAACAACTCCTAATGCCCCAGGACCTTTTAAACCAGGATTATCTGTTCAGAGCACTATAATTACCCGTGAGTTCACAGCTAGTCCACCAGCCAAAAATAAACAGACTTGACCTAACTAGACATACTTCTTTTTTATAACTGGCTAGGTAATGTTGTTCTATACAGTCCAATTCACATGACCACCACCCTATTAATTTTCTTAATTCACATTTATATAAAAAAAAAGTAATCATCATCACAAATAATGAAATTACTCGCTCAGCTTGGATGCCAGTTCTTGGAGAGCAGCTTCTTGGTCTTGACATATTCTTTTCAGTTGCTTGTTCTTTTCCTGAAGCTTAAGGAACTCCTTAAAACAAAAACCAAACAAAACCACCCAATTATTCTCAAAATTGTATTTGCCTACCACCTAGAAAACCACTACTACCCAAAGCTGATCTTACTGAGAAAGCCAAGCGAAAGAATAATCCATCACACTCTCTACTACAATTCCCAAACCCAACTCAGACAGCAACAACCCAGGATCAAACTCTCTCAGACCCCAAGAGATGAAGCATTTTTGCTTCTACAGTCCTCTCCAGGAAGAAAATCAAAACCCTTGATTGCAGAGCTCAGCACCTCTATATAGCCATGTATACCAAGTCAGAGAGAAGCCGAAGCACTTTCTGACCTACGATAAGAAGACTTCAATACAACTGAGAAAGGAAAACAAGGATTTAATTTTTCTTATTCGAAGCACCGAGTTCTGATCTGAAGACTAAACGGGGAATCAAAAAGGGATTTTTTTGCTTAAACTATTTGTGAGAACACATTAATCTGTCTTATCTACTTGCAGAAATTCTTAAAAAAGCCATGTCTAGGTCCACAATTAACTTTGCAGTCAATTTCTAAATTACTAGTCAAGTTTTACTGCACAATTTACTTTTTTAAGGTTAATTATTTCTTGTGTCTCTACTCTCAGATGAGATACAGTTTCCTTTTCCTTTTGAAGATCATCCTCTAAGGTCTGCCGCCACTCTTTTTCTATCTTCAAATCTGTTTCCAGCTGAATCCTGGAATATGCAAAACAAACAAACAAACAAACAAAATCACTGTGCACAAGAGTATAAGTTTGAAAAAACAAAAATTAGTTTATTTCTGGGTGTGATGTACTATTATAATAAGAAACAAATTATCCACTTACACATTTTCTAAAACAGAAATAATGTGTCAATATCGTATTTTTAGACATTGGTTTACTAAACAAAACACAACACCGTCACTTAGAAAACGCTTTTTAAAAGAAGTGTATCTAAAGGACCAAGAATATGGCATAATTTTGAAGAGCTGACCTTTATAATAAATGAGCAAGAGAATGTTAACCACAAAATTCTCTAGTATTTTGAACACATGCATATGGCAAAGCCCCCTTAACCTTACACAGCTTGTTTCTAAAATTAAACAAACCAGCCAACTAACCACGCTGCCACTGGTGATGCAGACAATGATTACATGTATCTCTGGTGCTCATAAATGTTATTTAATATTATGCCCTTAGATGTGAATCTTCTATTTTACACTCAGGCTTATGGCATTTTGAACAGATTTTAAAATAAAGGAGGAAGGACTTTAAATTACTATTTTTATTGAGTTTTCTACATAGCTGAGGTTCCACATACAGAGGGATCTAAATCCTACTAGTTTAACTGGAGTCCAGATAAAGCCATTAGGGCTACTGTGATGGAAGATCCAATCCAGCAGAAATTTCACTACCTGTTTAATGGAAGAGGTGGTGTTTAGAATGTTACTGAGAAAAAAACCACAGGCTGGAAGCACACTGCTCAACCTTCTAGATCTAAATTGTGCCAACATAATAAAAGAGGAAAAAATCTAAGAGTAGTCATGCAAGGTTTTTTGATGGAAAACCTGTATCCACATTAATTTTCCTATTTCAAAACCAAAGTCATTTTTAAAGGAAAGACTTACATTTTGGGACACTACCTCAGCATCTGGCTGGAAAAGATCAGAAGTGAACATGCCCTTGAAGTTTCAGAATTGCAGAATTCTAAGGCTGGGGTCTTTTGCCAAAATCTGCAAAGATGACTGTGGTAGTAAAGGGAACATCTGTCATGACAGTTAAACAGGTTTATTAACATTCAAAGTTGTATGAGAGGCAGCGTGGGCTAACAACTGGATTGGAAATCACTAATTTTTAAGCCCCAATCCTTGTTGTGCCACAGATTTGCACTGTCTTAAATAAATGTTATCTTTCCACACCGGGAAAACACCTGCCCTTACAGGGAGCTTTTTACACTATGTATTTATTTAAATCAGTACTGAAGGATTTAACAGAAGAAAGACTTAGAGGGCTGGCTTTTATATTACTTTTTAATATTTATGATTCCAGTGGATTTTTGTTTTTTATTTCCTGCACAGCGGTAAGTTAAACCACTTCTACCTTATTCATAAACCTGATCAATTAAACTATTCTTATGCCATTACTGTTTAAGTTTATAATACTAATACTTGTGGGTCTTGTTAAAAGTATGTATTACTACTACACTATATATTTTCCCCCACTTATGATAATTTCCTTGTGAATTAAGCTGGCACTTTCAGACAAAAAACAATGCTGTTCCTCCCCCTCCTTTCAAGCGGCACACCATTTGAAAGGCACACAAAGGTAGCTTGACTCTCTTGGAATGGCATCTTTTCTTCCACCTTGCCAGTACCTAACGTGAAGATCTTTAGCATTTACATTCTGTTCAAAATTGTTTATTAACAACCAGCCTGTATTAAGACACAGGACATATTACAATGTAGAATGTTTACTGCTGTATATTTTTCCAAACAGGAAAGATATACTTACAGTTGTTCCTCCTTCTGGGAGAATTCTTTCTGGAGACTTCCAGATTTATTCATATATTCCTGCTTAAGTTTCTCATCCTCAGCCTCAGCCTCCATTTGAGCCTTCTCTGCTTGCTGCAATCTGGTGTAATTCAAATCAACTTTGGGTAAAACTGAAGCTAGAACTAGGATGTAGAGGGTGAAGAAGACAAATAAAAAGAAAAATGGGGAAATAGAAACATTTCTAAATAAAAACAAAGTTTGGGGGAAACTCACAAACTCAAACGAGAAATCTATACAATGCCTACAGAACTAGCTCCTGTTTTTTCATATAGGAAGAGAGTAATCACTGTAAGTAATCACTGTTTTATTTTATGCTCATGAATAACAGATGCCACAGCATGATGATACATATTTTAGAATTGAAGCATACACCTTAATGCTTTCCCCCCCCCCCTTTCGAATGGTTAAGCGCTCCTCTTTCCCCCCCCCCCTTTAGCATATGTTCAGGTGTTGTTTTTGGAAGCTTTTTTGTTTAATTTCCCCCCAAATAAATCCTGTAAAAGTACTTGGCTTGTACTAATCACCCATTAAGACAGGGCAGAGCATGTGTTGTGCAAAAGCAGCTCAAAACAGTTCAGACATTCGGCTGAATACAGAGCACTGCATTCAGACAGCAGAAAAGCTTAACTAGCCTAATACAACAAGACGCACCCTGACAGGTGCCACTACGTTTATAGAACTACCTCAACTACATCATATTATTAATTTCAATAATCTGTATTAAAAATACTGCATTCTTACACTGGTTAAAATAGCTCCATACGACAGACAAAATAAATAAAACCGATTAATCAAGAAATGAGGGATTTTTTTATCTTCTCTTTCCTTTCCGAATTCCAGGGGTTTGTTTCTGCTTTAGCTAGCACTCCCCTTGGAATCCATTAGTTCAGCGTGGCTCCTCTCTGCTTGGTCATCTCTTCAGTCCAAAAACAGAGGCATGTAATGTAACAAAAGTAAAGGTACTAAAATGGAACTTGTGCTATATCATGGCTACACCTGTCTTGATGAAAAGGCAGTAGAGTAAAAGCCTGTAAAATACCACTGAAAGGCCCCACCTGCTGTGTCGTGTTTAACAAAACTGTTTCAAGGGCCTCTCGGGTAAAGGGTGGGAGAAAACTGGGAGACTCTCACTCTGTGCTTGGTTTCTCACTTCCAAGCAGCTAGCTGAATACAGAGTAACTCACAGCTCCCAGCATCAGCTAAAAGGAATTCAGTCAGCAATACATCTACATTTGTGCTTCTACTGATGAAGTTGCACCAGCGGGAGTTTCCAGAAGCTGCCAGTAAACAAGTGGAAAAAGACTAGAATTAAACTACCTTACAAAGTGTGTACTATCTCGTTCAACTATACCAGTTGTTTTAAGCGTGTTCCCAGTCACATTTGCAATGGTAGCGCACAGAAAGCCACCACATGTATGGAAAGGAGAATACTGGAATAAAGCAGGCTCAATTCACTGGGCAGAAGCAGCAGAGTGAAGCTACACAAGACAACAACACCAGAAGCAAGTTAAACTCCTCCCTAACTCACAAATTAAACTGCAGTGTAGTTTCCACAACCAAAGCAGAAAGGGAGCTTGCTACCAAGAAACATGCTAGCCAACCCAAGCTACAGCTTCATCCTCTAGGCTAGCACCACGGTTAACTGCACGGCTGGGGTCAGACAAATGCTGAGCTGGACCGAGTTCGCGGCAGGATTTGCTGAGGCAGATACTTGTTTGCATAGATGACCGTGAGGTGGTTAACGCTCCCATTTCTGCTATGGTCTACCTGTTGTCTATTCACTGTTTCTGGTTTGGGTTGTTTTGGAGGATGGGAGGTGGAATCCTGGGGTGCATCAAGAAGAGTGTGGCCAGCAGGACGAGGGAGGTTCTCCTTCCCCTCTACACTGCCCTGGTGAGGCCTCATCTGGAGTACTCTGTCCAGTTCTGGGCTCCCCAGTTCAAGAAAGATGAAGAACTACTGGAGAGAGTCCAGCGGAGGGCTACAAGGATG